ATTGAAGCACTTATTTCCAACCAGTGCACCTTGCTGATCGCCAACCAACCCGGCAACCTGCACCCCCTTCAGTGCACCATACGCAATGGGGCCATAAATTTCAGAAGAAGAGACAAGTTTGGGCAAAATAGAAGCCTTAAATCCGAAGAAATTGAGGAGCGGCGTTGACCATTGGAGGCCGCGAAGATCCATGAGAAGTGTACGAGATGCGTTAGTCGGGTCCGTCACATGAATGCCGTCCTTGACACCGCCTGTCAAATTCTGAGAGAAAATCAGATTCATGTGATCAGAGAGATATCAGAAATAATACATACGTATACTATCCATGATTCGACGGTACCAAAGAGAAGGTTATCTTCTTCATGGGCTTGTTTGACCTCAGGATGGTGATCAATCATCCATCGGAGCTTAATACCCGAAAAGTAAGTTGAGAGGGGTAGTCCAGAACTAGATAAGTATATTTGGAATCAGTGGTGCCGGAATTGATAGAAGGCGAGAACCGTACATTGCACTCAGAGCATCCTTTCCCTTCTTAAAGACGCCTGACTCAACCTCGATACCGACTTCGTCTAGCTTTTGCTGATAATGAGCGACTGTGCCTTTAGTGCGGTTATCGGTCCAGACAATGGCCCTGCAAAGTGGCTTTCCAGTCTTGCGGCTCCATGCTACAGCGGTTTCACGCTGGTTTGTAATTCCTACAACCAAGGATCAGCCGCAATATATGAAAGAGGTCAATGGACAAACCGATAGCCTTAATGCTCTCTTTAGACAATCCTTGCTCCTCAAGTTTCTTCACGGTTTCCTCAATGCACTTGTCCGAGACCTCTTGAATCTCAGTTGCGTCATGTGAATGCCAGCTATAATACCTCATATTAGCAATATCGACCACATAGCGACTAGGAGCTTACCCCGGGTTCTCGTAATACTGAGGAAACTCCTCCTGATGCTGTGCGATAATGTTCGCATATTGATCAAACACCATAAATCGGACCGAGCTGCGGTCCAGGCCATAAGCAAGAACACAGTTAGGGAGCGACGAACGTACGTGGTTCCAGCATCGAGAGCTCCGATAAGATCACTGGTTGTCGTTGAGGAAGACATTGTTGGAAAGAGAAGAGAAAAGGGTATATTTAAGCTTCATGCCTAGGCTCCAAAATGTAGTGCGAATGTCTGGGCTCGTGATCTGAGACGCACATCCCGAGTGACAGGGCCGTCACAGCCCGACGGCCCGTTCTTCCCGCCACTATTGCTTGGCGTTCATGGTCCTAATAACACAATTATGTCAAACTCCGTAAGTCAAGGCTTTACTTTAGAAATCATATGGAGGGAGACACCTCTGAATGAATAGGTACCTTTTCACCCACCTTCGCAACATGATCTTTGACGATGGGATAGCATGTGTTTTCCAGAACATTGGGATCACTGTTATACTGATAGCTAGCTTTACTTAGGTCCGATCAGTCCAGCTTGCGTGAGTTCCGCTCGACTGCTCGCGGAGTTCTTGGTATGAGACAAAGCTTTACTATCAAATTCCATAATGCCAAATGGTCACAAGGCATGCTGTTAAATATCCTTTTCACACCAGGTGTTGTAAAACGGTAAACAGGTGACATCGGACTGCGGTTTTCTTCAGTAGGGGTCGTTTTCAAGCGGATTTCGAGTTAAAGACTGGCTCAAATTCATGAATTCTTTCCTACGGCGTTAACACATCAATTTAAAATTACGTAAAATTGTTTATAATTCTAGGGTATTATGTTAGGTCCTATCAGTCCAGCTTGCGTGTCAGCGCAAGCGGTCTGTAACAAGCTAATAGTAGACCCTCCCTCTGTGCGGGGTGATCATGTTCCTCCCATATCTTTCCTTCCACTGCTTCATTTCTTTTCAGTTGAAATGAAAGTTGTAGCTAGACATAAAAATTATAAAATATTATTATTATAGAAAGCTCGAAACATTCAAGGTCCTGTGCTAGAACGGATCCGCGTCGGGCACCAGGAACTGTAAACGATTAGAATATTATTCCCCCCATTAGCTTTTTCTACTGAAAATTTAGGCGCTCATGCACAGAGGTTGAATATGTCGGAGTTTGTCACAAGACGCTCCGCTAGACTGCTTGCGGAGTTCTTGGTATAAGACTACGTATTATGTTCTATTACCGGCATGTATAAATTAGAGCCACAAATCGGATGCTAAACTTCTTCATCACCTTCAGCTGCGTTCACGTTCACTTTTCCCACTGGGAAACTTTCTTAAATTCACAAGAATAATTCTCCAATGTCCTATTAAGCTTATTGTCTTTTTTCAGAAGCTGCTACGACTGTTTATTGATGTTCTTCTTGTTAGAGTTGCCAGGTAAACGTGACTTCAGCCGTGTAGTCTCCATTTGGGCCCTTTTTTTTTTGCCGTGTATCTGAGTCAATTTCGAGTCATGATGGTGTTTGTAAATAATGTCCGATAAAACCAGGTGAATGGATACTTTGAATCGTCGAAAAAGAGCGAGGACTCTCTGACGCGACGCGACGCGACTCGTTAGATTATGTAATTCAGGCGCCTAGTGTTTTTTAAACTATCACTTTGCCTGCTTCGAGTCAAGGCGATGTGACACTGCTATCAGTGAATCAACATGTGCATTCTTATGGGAAAAGGATATAAATCCAGACCCCTAAATAGAACTTGCCTAACAGTATTATTTATTATTCTGTATGGCAGTTTACTTTATATCTCAATAAAATAAATACTTGGGGGGTGTGAGTTTTCAGGGGCCTCGGGTGAGGGCATGAGTTTGGGAATTTTAAAGATATTTGTCAATGGTAAGAGACACTGTTGCCCCCCAACTCTGTTGAAACGGTCATTTTGCACTGACAAAGTGTGGGAACTTTGGTATCCGAGTGGCTGGAGTCGCCTATATACTTCGGTGATCAGATGCCGGGCTTCGACCTTCAGTATTCAATAATGGGGCGACTGAAAATGGCAATATCACAATCATATAATATAATAATCATAATCATTGTAAACTAAGGCAGAAAAGGGGAGATGTATAAGCTAACAAGTTACTGTAATTTTGGCACTCGATTCGATTGGTTAGATGACGTCACGCGTCCATTTCACACGGCGTGACACCTAATCTCAAGCTGAGTCTGTATATTGTAATTTGTACTGCTTTCTCGTGAAGGTAAGGTCCTATATTCTATCTGTTGCAGTCGATCCCTCACGCATTCATTCAGTATTGATAATATTAGAAGCGTCTATGAAGCTTGACCTAACCAGCGCAAACGAGACCACGAGACGGTACTATGATCTGCTTGGATCCGACTTTGCTCCCAGTGGAACAGAGTTGCATTCCGCCTCGATATTCCATGAAAACCTCATCAAGCAAATTGTTGATTTGGATACTATAGATGGGCAACAGGGGGATTCGCAGACTCTGGAGCTGCGCGCCCTTGATGCCGCACTCCAAATTACGAAAGCTCTACTGTCACCCATGCGTAGACTTCCACCGGAAATTATGGCTGAGATCTTCATATGGTGCACAGAAGATCGTTTTTCTGCGAAGATTGAATTTGGGGGATTCATCAAGGAGCTGGAAATCTCGCCCTTCAAGGCTCCTTTGCTCTTGATGCGAGTCTGTCGCCGGTGGCGGCGGATTGCGTTGAACACCTCCCGCCTATTTACCAATATCAGCCTATGGGACGATACACTGATCAACCCATTGCTTGTTATTCGAATGTGGCTACAACAGTCAGGCACTCTGCCTATTTCTATTGATATAAATCCCCGTCGATGGACTAGGACCTTATGGAACTATAGCAAAGAGGAAATTGATAATTTAACGAAGCTCATCTCCGAGAACATATGGCGATGTCAAGCTCTCTCAATATATAATAAAGAATCTCGCAGTATGTTACTGCCGGCTGGACAACGAATTGAAGGGCCAATCCTACGACGCCTGTATTGGGGAGGTGATTACAGGGACAGAGAGGAGTTCGAAGACTATCCATGCGGAACCTTAATAACACCTCAGCTTCAACGATTATCCATTTTCGATAGGTGGACCGACGTTAACTTCGTCGAATATAATCGTGAAGATCTTCGTATATTGGAATATTCCGCCCCTGATATACCTGTTACCGACTTCGCAGGTATTGCCCGGGGATACACAAATTTACAAGCGTTATATATCTCATTCTCAAATGACTCTTATTCCTTTAATGAGTTTCCTTTGGATATACCCTTAGTTTCTCTGCCTAAACTAAGCACTTTACGGCTAAGTTGGGATCGCTCCATACCTGAAGCCAATATCACCGCTCTTCTAAACGTCTGCAGGTTTCCCAAACTGGAGGAGATAAGCCTCAACTATAATCGTAGAAGTGGGTTTATTAGCTCAACTGCCCTTCTAATGGGTGCAACAGATCTTTTTACCTCGTCTGGCTCAATCCCGCCTTTACGGCGCCTTCAATTTTGCAGGGTAATTTTACCAACCCGCGACTTATTGATGGTATTGAAATCATCGCCCAACCTGGAGCAATTAATTCTAAGGTCCTTGGATCAAATTTCTCGTCGACTTATCAAGGCCTTGACCCCCAAACGCAATGGAGAATGTCTCTGTCCTCGTCTCAGCTTCATACTCTTAGAGGACTGCTATACACCCCCCGCTGAGACTATGAAGCTCATCAAGGCACGCTTGGAACGATATTCCAGCACGCCTGGATTCAAAAAATTGGATATTTCGCTTAACAGGTGCACTGGGTTATCACTTCGGGACGAAGTAGAACTGCAGGCGTTACGACAGCGACATGCTGGCTCACAGAATATTTCTTTACGGCGATATATACCTGTGAATTTTTATGATTAGACAATCCATGCATCATAGACTAGAACCCCGCTAAAATATATCTACGAAGAAAGGAGTGTAGAAGCTCGTTTCCACCAGCCAAGAACGATGAACTCATTGCAGTCATAACCTTCTCTGGACTGAAGAATGGGGTGAATGTGGCAAAATATAATGACAACAGTGAGGTTCGAACTCACGCCCTTTCGGACCAGATTTCAGTTAGGCCTAATTCTGGCGCCTTAGACCACTCGGCCATGTTGCCGCGCCATATTTATATCCATTGTTTTTCCTGCCAGTATTGCTATGCTACTGCGAATGTTCTATTCTATCTTTAGCAAGCGCGCCCCCGGTGCTGCCTGTGCAACGGCAGTAAGGTGCTCAGTACCACCATGTCCGTCTTAACCTCGGCCAACGCTGCACAGGCCGTAGGAGAGTATCTTCAATCTCCAGACGATCTTATCAAAGTCGCCAACTTCAGACAGAAATTGGAGAAAGAGAAGACTTCGATTGACCTGAAGCTCAAAGGCGGCGTCAAGGACCAACTAGACACGACGCGAGCTGGCCTCAAGAAGTTGTCTGGTACGAGGGAACAAGTTCAGGCGATTAAAGATGAAATGGCGAGAGTGGATGCAGCATGTAAAGATCCCCAGTACGAAATCAAGACGTTTGACCAGATTAGTCGGGTACGTCGCTTATACCTAGATTCTCCTTGCCTACCGTTTATTGAGTGTAATTCAGGTATCAACAGTTCATCGTAACTTTGCTCAAGTAGAAGAAATGATCAGCAACCTGCGAGAAGTAGCCCGCAGAATCGAAGATCTACGAGATATGCTCGAATATGACCAAAGGGACATCACCGGTCCTGCCAAATACCTCTTTCCAGTGCACCATCAACTTCATCAGCTAGAAGAGTTCCGTAATCAGACATTGCATCAGGCGAAGAAAGCTTCTGAGAATTCAAGAGCCATTCTACAAAGACTCTTCGAACCTTTGGACCGGCTTATTCAAGAATTTGATCAACACTTTTTGACGCTGTGCCGGAATATTCTTCCTATAATCCGTGCTGGACATCCCGAAGTTATAGTCAAACTATGTAAGATTTCAGAGCTGGAAGGTACTGCTGACCAAAAGGTATGCCAATCCCTTCACATGCTTGATATCCTAACCTCAGGCCACATAGGCAATTCTTATCAAACTAGTCAAGAAATCGGCCAACTTGGATACCGCTGCCAAGTTCAGATCCTTACAAGCCGATGCCCGGCAATACAAGCACTACCATTCTAATATGATGAAAGCCATCACAGAATCTATTCGACAAACGTTCGAAGAAGAATATGCCAAGGAAAAGGACAATCCTGCGGCATTCCTGGACAACCTCGGTCCCTGGCTGTTCAAGGATATCATCCAAATCGAAGAAGAAGTTGTACCGTGCTTTCCTCCGGACACCGACATATACAGCTTCTTTATCAAAGAATATCACAAGGCACAATACGAAATTCTCAAGAGACTTGTGGCTGATGAACCTGAGGCTAAGGTCCTCCTTCAGCTTCGTGCTTGGGTCAAGGAGTACAAGAAGAGCATGAATGAGCTAAATGTGCCCCCAGAACTACTGGACCCCCCACTTCTCGATGGCAAGGAGCAATCCCTAATAGACGACTATCTGGGTCTCCTTGTCAAGAAGCTCGAGGAATGGACTGCAAATCTCATGAAGACAGAATTGAACCAGTTCTGGGAACGAGAAGAACCTCCGGAAGTGGACGCGGATGGTCTATACGGTATGCAAGGCGCTGTCATTATGTTCCAAATGATCAATCAGCAAGCCGATTCTGCCGCGGAGAGCAACCAAGGTGCCGTCCTTGCACAAGTTATTGAGGCGAGCGGTCGCGTTATGCGCGATACACAGGTTCAATGGATAAAGGCGATTGAAAGCGAATACAAGAAGCAGGTCGAGAGACCGGAGGAAGTTAAAACTGGTCTGGTGGAATACGTGATCGCTATTGCCAATGACCAGATCAAATGTGCAGACTATGCGGAAGCATTGGCGGCGAGATTGGAATCCATGGTTTCCGAGAAGTATGGATCTGTCATAAGCGAGCAACTGAACGCTGCCATCGATGGGTACCTCGACGTCGCGAAGAAGTGCACGCAAACATTGATAGATCTCATTTTCAACGACTTGAAGCCTGCGACGAAGCAACTGTTTGGACCGAACTGGTACGACGGACAAATCACAGGCCAAATCATCGAAACCATGAGGGACTACATGGGAGATTATCAAACATATCTCAACCCTTCTATATTGGAACTCCTTGTTGAAGACCTTTTGGATACTTTCCTCATCACATATCTGACCGCTATGGCTAATGCCAATAAACTACGTATACCTGCTGCCCTCGATCAGATTAAAGAGGACGTCACGAAATCCTTCAAGTTCTTTTCCACTTGGAAACAAGGAAGCGAACTGGAAGGCTACTTTGAAGTCGTAGAGATGGCTTTAGGTATGCTCGAAAGCTCCAGAAGTATGGTCTTCCTGCCGTTCTGGAGCTTTGCTAAGAAGCATGGACCATGTCTCGCCTTTGTAGAGGGGCTGATGAGGGCAAGAGAAGATCTAGACAGGTCCGCTGTTAATGAAGTTATGGATAGCGTTAAGCGGAAGGTGAAAGATGAAAACTTGCAAGACCGTAAGTGATGCTATTATCATAAAGTGATACTGTACTGATTGCCATTTACCATAGCGCCAGAGCCTACGATCATGAAGAAGGTCATCGTGCAAGGCACATTCGCTCGGCTCATCAACACTGCGACAAATATTGCGACGAAACAATCGTAGTTGTATACAGCTCATGACATCCGTTCTGTTATATTCCGTTACGTGCACGCATTGTACTACTATCATTACATAACTTATTGAATGTATACTCTTCTAATCTGTCTTTGCTTTCTCTGCTCTCTTCTGCTCAATCTTCTCAATCTCTTTATCTATCCTCTTGAACTGGTATGGGAAGCGCGACGGATACAGGAAGGGTCGAAGATCGAAGCCTAAAAGCAATGTTAAGCAAGCGATAAAGCCCGGTCAGCAGGACTTACGATTATCATCAGGACTATACGATTCCTGTACACATATGAAGAGCAGTCAGTGTCATCCCAGCGAAAGTCTTTCATATATCACTCACAGCATGATAAGCGGGTGTAATAGTGGTCATCTTGTGTCTGTTCCGTGCATATTCGAACCAGAATAACTTGACCTTGTCGGCAACCTAACAATCTCTCTCAGTAATCATTCTTCGATACAGTATAAGGAACTACCTGTGTAAGAGACAAATGCTTCCATTGTCCCGCAAGTTTCTCCCACATACTGAATGGTCCTAGTTTATCCACCTTGCGCAAACGACCGAAAATGGACAGTTCGTCATATGTCATTCCCATATCAGCCTGAAAATACTTAGTTAACGTATAACAAAATAAGAGTCGTGGATGGTACCTCATCAGACTGAACATATGTCGCTGTAATTGGCTCTAATTCTGCAGTTGGAACCGCATCCAGGAAACTGCGAGACTATAAGATACGCCATATAGCATTAACGTAGGACGCACCTTTCCAGAATGGGCAGGTCGAATGCGTCTTTGGCCCATGCTATGAACTTCTTCAGATCGGTTTTACTGATGGCGCCAATTGGATTGATATCAGCTGCAAAAAGAGCTTGCTCAGTAACAATTGCAAAGTTGAGAAATCATGTACCCACCTGATGAGCAGTCATATTTCGTCAAATAACCTCGTAAACTGATTAACGGAGAGAATGTCAAATATTTGCATTTCCAATTCATGCTCGTGCACGTACCTTTCGTCTACGTTGGCACTACCCAGTACCAACAGACCACCAGGTCGTCCGCGTACCAAAGGTAATAACTGAGCGAACAGATAGGAGAGTACCATGCGCGATCTCGCCTAAATTCCACCTCATAAATAAACCATATTTAAGCTCGAGACTATGAAAGTACCTGAATGTTTTGTAAAGCGAGATTTTCGGCAGCACTTCCGCCATTCGAGCGGAACCTCGGTGTAAAGCTTGTCGTCAATGTGAATACCATAAGGATACCTTTAACCATGCTATCCATATTCAAATCTGTGTGGTAGCTGCATTCAAATATTAGAAAAGCGCAACTAGGTGGGAGATAAATATGTACCTTCCAATGGCTTTTGCTAAGTCTTTGGCACGGTTCCTCGTCTCTGCACTCGAGTTCTCCGTGCCCATATAACACGTATGGAAAATACGGCCACAGAATTCCTTAGCGTCGGTAGGCACGTAGGTTGATCCTTCGGGTTCTCCTACAATTCTTCGAGCATCCTGGATGACTTGTTGATCTGAAAGAAGACGGCATAAGTAAAGAAATGTAATCATCCATAACAAATGAAAAAGGTACGTACTTCCTTGCTCTGCTTCACTCACGACAAGCCGACACATCGAATATACGATGACTGCCGTTGCACAGCTATCAATGCCACCACTGAGAGGAACGAAGTAACCCTGTGTACGGGACCGACGAAGATAATCCCAAAGCCAGCATGCCGGACCATAGCTAAAACGTCAAGGATATGAGCAAGCGATTCCAGACATTCCGAAGACTGGAATACTAACGCAATCTCTTCTTCTGGTTTATGGTATCGTACTTCAAACTTTTCAGATTCATAGGCATCCTGGCGAAGCTCCATATCGTCATCGTAAGTTGATAAAGCCATCGGGAGCTCTACACGGTGATATCGCTCTGCCGCCGCCGCCTGCATGTTACGACTGATAACAGCACGATGAGCACGGACTTCTTCAATATCGATGGTTGCTGTAATGACTTCGACGTCTTTCAGGGAGAATTGGCTCCCCTGTGCGACGACTTCACCGTTAACTGCGACCATGGCGCATCCGTCATAATACAGACGATCTCCGTCACACCCTCGTTGGTTCGCATACAAGTAGATTCCCCCACCCTAGAATCAATAATTAGTTATGCGCGTCTTAATAGAAGAGAATAGTGAAAACCTTTTGAGTAGCTTCCCTGATTAAGTTTATACGAGTGTGCAATTTCCGCAATTCATGGTGACTTCCACTCGAATTGCAGAATATCTCGACACCATCTAAGCCCATCAAAATGTGGGGGCTAAAACCGACATGAATTTTGATATATACGATAATCCTATCAATCATACCTTGCAGGTGTGAATAGTTCTTCGCATAATTCAACGCCAACAACTGTATCAAGAGTGCTCAC